CTGGGCAATCCCTGGAGAAAATAGATGTGGTAATTCAGTTGCAGGTCCCATCCTTTTCTCACGGCCCTGTGGTCAGCTGGCTTTGTCAGATGTGCCCCAGGTGGCTGACAGGAGAGCAAGGTGCTCTGAGCAGGAGCCTTGCATCAGCCAAGTGTCTTTTCCTGCCTCTCCTGTCCTCCCAGAGGGATCCTCCTGGTTGGCAGGGTACTTCTCCCACAGCCACCTTGGGACACTTTCTGTCAGCTGTGACACTTTGGGTCTGGTGGAGGTGTAAACTAGGTTCTTGATCCACTGAGTAATTCATATGAAGTAATTCATAAAAAATGTGCACTGTCACTTTTGTTGATGTTCTGGCCTTTGTTGATTTGTGTGAGGGTAAATTTTGTCACTGAAAATTTTGTTGTTTTTACAGAATGCCTTTTTTATCATCTTGTTTTCCTTTCTCCTATTTTGCCTTTCTATGTCCTCCTTTTTAATCCTAAAGTAAAACCTCATCATAAACTAAAATCCATATTTTAGGAAAAACCAACACATAAAATTGAAGGAGGAAGCTGGAATCCAATTTGATGAATAATAAATAATCCTGGACTCAGAAAAGCCTCAGCTATTTTTCTCATAGCATCCAGTGCACTACTGGCTTGATTGGGTGCTATAAATATTGGCCAGGTTCTTTCAACCCTTGGGAAGGTAAATGAGAGGCCAGTGCCAGGTTTGGGATGATGAAAGGGCCAGAGGAAGGGGCAGATGTGTAACTGGTGAGCAGGGAGCCCAGCCCCAGTGTGGGCTGGCAGCTCAGGGTGCAGCACAGAGCTCTGGGATTGATGTGGGATCTCTCTTTGCCACGGCTCCAGCACCAGCCTGGTGAGAAATTGTCCTGGTTCCAGCGTGGCAGGGTGCTGGCTCCCTCTAGCATGGCAGGATGATGGCTCTGGCTCCATCCAGCATGGCAGGGTGCTGGGAACCTTCCTGCCCACGCGAGGAGCTGAACCTCGGTGACAGGCACTGGGTGCACCCTGACGTTTCCACACTGCTTGAGGCTGAGGGGTTTGGAGAGCTGACACTCCTCACACAGCCTGGAGTGATGGAGCAGTTGGACATCAGTGAGCAGCTTGGGCTGGGATGTCCTTCCTTCCTTCCTAGGGCCTTAGAGGAACATTTTTGCTTCGTCAAGACCCACTTGTGACAGTTGGAGCATTGTCCTCTCTATCTTCAGTGCATCAAGTTTTTATTCTGTTTTCCTTTGCAATCTTGACCATCATAGGGCCATAGAATGGTTTGGGTTGGCATGGGCCTTAAAGATCATTGAATTCCACTTCCATGCCTTGGAGATGAGCTTTTCTAGATGACACCTTTCACTAGATGAGCTTGCTCAAAGCCCCTGTGCAATCTGGCCTTGAACATGGAGCCCTTTGTGCTTGACAAGCTGGTAACCCCTAAACTCACAGGACTTGTCTGCCTCTCATCTTTCCAAAGCCCTTGCTGTTGTTCAGCTCCAGCACAGCTGTCCTCTGTCCTGCCCCCTGGGGCAGGTTGCTGCAGGATTGAGTGTGGTCCTTTCTGGCACAGCCTGAGCCTTGGGTTTGGACTTGTCCCCAGCCCTGCCTAGCACAGGGCTTGAGCACAGCCCTGAAGGAGGAGATAAGAACAGCCTTTGTGTGTCCGACTGGAGCATCTCCTGTTTCCAGCAGCAATTGTGAGGGATGCCAAGAGCCTAGAAGAATAGTCAGGGGGATGTGTGGACCCATCCTTCCCTGGCAGGCAGCCCTTGGCAAGCCATTGTTTAAACTCTGCTTCCCCTGGCAAAGATGGTTTCCATCATGCTGAGAGAGGATGGCTTCTCCAGGAATTGATAGCCTCTGTTATTGTCACAGCTGCAGCTTGTCCTCCAGGCTCTGTGGGAACACCCCCATCACCAAGGCTGCTGTTCCTGACCTCAGGGGCTGCACCTTGCAGGTTCTGGCCTGAGGAGCGTGCATCAGGCTGGGCTATGTCCTGCTTGTCACTGCAAGGACTTTGTCTTCCTGTGGTGACCCATGGCACACCTGCACAGGGCTGGCTTGACTGGCCAAGTCAGTGAGGAGACCAAGTCCTTGAGCACAGTCACCTGAAGAACAAGAAACATTTGGAGATGTTTTCCCCTTGACTTTATAACTTTCCAGTGGAGCTCATGACAAAGAAAGAGCTGCATTGCTGCCACCATGAGTGTCAGGTGGCCTCTGGTGTACTTGCCATTGGTGCTGCCCTGAGTTTCCTGGTCCGAGGGGCTTTCACTGCTGTTGGTTGGGGGATTTTTTAGCAAGTTGCCAAGGGGGATTCTCCAGCAGCACTGCCTCGAGGATCCTGGCTGTGGTCCCTGCCTGTGCTGGCCGTGCTGCAGTCAGATCCAGTAGCATCGTGTCCATTTCCATGGCAACAGCACGTGCGTGACCATAATAAAGTCAGATTACAGCTCCTTCCCTGTGTGTGTGGGCAGGAAAGGAGTTTTCTGAGGTAAGAGCTCAAATGACTTGCAAAGGAGCATTTTGGCTGGGTAAAGGCAGACTTTCCAGTGGCTAGGGAGGCTGTTTGTGCAATGCTGGAAATGCTAATGAAGATTGAGTGAATTTTCTGGGACTTTTTTTTTTTTTTTGCTCTGCCAAGCAGATTTCATGCACACGTGTAGTAGGAGCTAAATTTAAGGGGTGATTGTCCAGAAAGGGCTACAGAACAGGTCTCTGAAGCCTGCTTGTCCCACAGGGTAATAACATGGGCTGTGCATTTTCTCAGAAGTGGCTTTAATGCTGTGGGATTCAGTCTCAGCTTGGAGCCTGCTGCTGTTTGTCATGGGCTGAATGCCAACAGCCAGGCTGTGGGGAGAGCTCACACACAGCCCTTGAAATTAATCTGTGAAGAGCAGGAGCTGGGCAGGACTCTCTGCTTGGCCAGGGATGAAGGTGGTCTCCTCTGGAGATGTGGTGTAGTCCCAAGGGGTCCATTTGGTACCTCTGGAGGTCTCTTCCACATGAGGCCTGTTGGTAGGTCACTGGTGCTGGTTGATGTAGTTGGGGCTGTTGGTTGGTTGCTCTCCAGCACTGTCAGCACCATGGCTGAGTTTGCAGGGATCTGAAATGATGAGTCCTTTGACCCCAGCAGTTCCAGCACTTTGGTAAAAAAGCAGGAACCCTTTTAATGTGGTCAAACCTGGCTTTCCTTGTCCAGTTCAACTACAACTTGTAAAGTGAGATTCCTGGGTGGGCTCAGGAGTGTCATTTCTACTTCAGTATCAAGCCATGCACAGGACCAACAGGATTTAGGCACCACATGGGTTTTTGGAGCACCAGGCATCTGAGCTGTGCTGGGGATGCTGGTGTGGGAAGGACACCAAGGAACCTTGCTGCATTCTCAAAGTGCCAGGTGTATCTTGGTGAGGTTTCTGTGGTGGCTCTTCACTCAGTCTCATGGGGTAACATCAAAGGAGGCTGCCAGGGGAAACAGAGACCAAGGTAATGCCTCATCATGGGAGAGCTTTGAAAGCCCTGGCTGAGGGAAACCTGCCTGATGGGCTCCAGTGGGGCTGGCAAAGCTGGCTCTTCCCAGCTCAGTGTGTGGGGCTGTGTGACAGCTGTGCATGGATGGGACTGTGGGACACTGCCCTGGTGGCTGCTTACAACAGAAAATAGGGCAGTGCTGGGGCAGGTATTGCAGCCTGAGGAAGCTCCCAGAAGGTTCTAGGGAGGGGTTTGGTTGTGGGTTAGAAAAGGTCAGGCCCCAGGTACTGTCAAATGTCACAGAGGTTCAGTACCACAAACATCCTGTGGTTTGTGTTTCCCCTTCCCATGGCAGCCACGGCCACTGCTGTGGCCCCCAAGATGTGGCTGTGAGCTGACAGTGTGTTCTGGAGGTGGCACCCGGGTGGCACCCACTGACTCAGCCGGTGGGTGTGAAACCAGGGGCTGGCTTTAGCACCAGCCCTGCCAGAGGGATCTCAGCAGTTTCAAAGCATCCTCGCTGCTCAGCCTGGCTTGGCTCCCTTTCAGCAGCCTCTTGCTTGAGCACCAAATTCCTCCTCGGGAAGTGCAATATTCATGAAGGAGACACGTTAATTAGCAAGCTGTCTGCTCCCTGCTTTGGCATGTGAGTAGGTGGTGTTACCTCTGGAATTAGGTTGAAATCCGTTTGGTATTTAGGTGCATTTGATTTGCAAGAGCTTGTAGGCCTCTTAAAGAGCACCTCTAAAGCACGTTGAGCTACACACAACTTTCATGTGATGTGTTTTCTTTCTGCCACTCTGGGACATGCAAGGACACCTCATTGCCAAGCTGGTGTCCCCTGGCCATCTGAACAAACTGTGGGCAGCTGACTGCCGGCATTCAGGACAGATCCACTCATTCCTGAGTGCATCCTCTCTTGCTGGCACAGCAGCCAGCAGGTCCAGAGATCTGTGGTTATCTCAGACTTGGTCATGGAAGTTGCTCAGAGGAGGCTGATTCTCAAATTGCAAGGTGTTTGGAAGTCAAATGAGCAAACCCCAGCTCTGCAGCTCCACAGCAGCTGTGTGTGGCTTTGCTGTCCCCAGCCTGGAGAAAAGTTACTGTCTCTGGTTGGCAGTTTTGAGCCCCAAAGGAGTTGTGTTGCAGCCTCTTATTGAACCCCAAAGGCATGGAAGGGAACGCAAAATGGTAAAAACACCATCAAACCCAATTAATTCCAAATCAATTCCTGGCTATTGCCACCACCATCACTGCTCCAGTGCTAGTATGTTGTCTTCAAGTATCAGAAAGTTTTGGCAACTTCTCTCAGGCATGAGAAGCCAGAATCTGTGGAATGGAGCTTTTTTTTTCCTGAATCTTTTTAAGATATCTCCCTGTTCTGCTGTATTCTAGGAGTAAGAAGGTAGAAAGTGAAGATGCTAAAAAAGACTAAAAATCTTGTGTGTTGTAATTGAGAAATAAGATTTTCTTCCCTTTTGTAAATGATTTTCAGTGGTTTCAGTGTTCTCTTTTGCTTTCTGTCATAGCAAAAAAATGAGAAGAAAAAATGGAAGAAGTCATGAAAAGACCAAGTGTTTTTAATTTTCTGGTCAATCTCTTAAGAACTTTAAAGAAATGGCTCGTGCTAGTTTTTGGAAAAAGGCAGAGAAATTCCAGTTTCTGCCTGTCATTTTTTCCTCCCCACTTGAAATAATTCATCCAGCCCTAAATTAAACCATTTGATTTGGAAACTGGGGCAGAAGGTGAGTGTTTGTGGGTGTGTTGGCAGGGGCACTCTGAGCAGAGAAAAGCTTGTGGAAGGGCAGGATGCAGCCCCAGCACTGCAGGGTGAGCTATACTGGGACTGCCTTTGGTAGAACCACGGCGGGTGCTGCTGGGGTGGACGAGGAGGTGAAGACGCCAGCCCAGAAAATCTTTAAATACTTCAACACAGGAGCTCAGCCCCCACTCCTGTTAAATTGGGAGCTACTCCCAGCTGCTCTCCCTGGCTCTGAGGGATGCCCTGCTCCCAGGGTCAGCAGCCTGGGCACCCAGCACCTCCCTGCCCTCTGTGCCTGGGTGTGTGCTGAACACCAAAGAGAGTGGAGGAGAAACCCTTGCTGCAGTGAGGGGTGAGTGCCTCCTTTGCTATTGGAGCCCCTCTGGAAGGTGTTCATCACTAATGCTTGTTTCTCTCGTTTAGATGAAGGTTTCTGCATCCCCATGCATTCCTGCTCTGCACCACATGAGTCTCTGCTCCAGGCTCTTGTCCTTGGGGTGGGCAGAGGCTTTGCTGAATCCATGGACTCCTGGTTGTCCACAGCATCAGGCTCAAGACAGACCAAGCTGGGTGAGTTGTTTCCTTGCTGCTTTCCCTGAGCCTTTTCCCAGCAGTGTCACCCAGCCCACTGAACAGGAGCCCTGGGGGCTGCTGCTCCATGACAGTGCCCTCGTTTGGGTGCCCCATGCACTCTGTGAGCAGCCAGGATTCCTTCTGGGTGCCTCTGGAAGCAAAGCCTGCAGCAGGGCACTGCTGCTGTGCCCCTGAGGATGGCAGGGAGGAGAAGGCTGTTGGCAGAGAATGGCTTCACAGAGCCACTCTGGGAGCTGGTCACCCCTCCTCAGGGAGGGCTGCTGGAAGGGAGCCCAGGAGAGCCCTGCCAAGGATGTCTTCATCCTCATACCCCAATGCAGGCAGTGTTTGCAAACGCTGAGGGGATGCTGCTCCACCAGGGGCCAGCCAGGGCTGATAGTGTAGCTTTGGGTGGCTCTGCTCATAGGCCCAAGGGCCTCAAGGTGTGTTTTGGCTTGTGGGGCACAGTGGGGGCTTGGATGGCCCTGGAGGAGGTGACAGGAGGACATTGGCTGTTTGGCCCTGAACCCAGGGCGGCTGTCCTGAACCCCAGAGTCCTGTGAGGGATTTCCCCATTTGCAGTCACAGTGTTGTTCTCCAGCTGTACCTGAAGCACAAGGGGGGGATCTCCTAATGCAGCACAACTTTTATGGGCTGAATTGATTGCTGGTGAAATACCCAAGCCTCAGTATGCTGTGACATATCCCTGCATCCCACCATCACCTCAGAAGAGCACTGCAGAAACACTCCAGTCCTGGTGCAAGGGCTGCATGTGGCCAGAGCCCATCCACTGTATTGTCCAGAAGGACTCTCTGCTTTGGCAAGACTGAGAAGCAGGTTCATTGAAAAGATCTCCACTGAAGTACCAAAAATGCTTTAAAATGGTCTGTTTTGCATTGAGAAGGTGTGGAAATGCAGAATGGATGGTTCTTGTAAGCTGCCCCACCTGAAACACCAAAGGATGGAAGTAATTAATGAATTAATTTCACTGTCCCCATTGGAAAGGTGCTGGCCACAGCCCTGGGAAGCAGTTGATGGGGATGGGGAAGGCAGCTGCCTCCCTTGCTTTGATCCAAAGCAGTGTGAGCACCTGGCCAGGAATGTGGGGTCATGCTGGCATCTTGCAGTGCCAGAGCCTGAGATGAGACATGGCTTCTCTTTGAAGTCAGGAACAACAATCTCTGAAAATAATATTAATTAAACAAAGGCAAAACCAAAAGCAGGACCTACTCCTCTCCACTCCCCCACTGGGAAGATATGACAAAGCCTTTCCTGTGTTAGGGTTGGTGCTCAAAAAAGAGGAGGGAAGATTTCTAGCAGCCTATCTCCTTGGTAATGGGCCCATTTCAATCCTGTGGTTAATTATATTAAATAATTATGGTATTTAGCTCACTTACCCTGTGCCTTTTCACACCCTGGGTGACTGTGGGATGGCAAGTACCAGACAGAGCAGTGAGGGGAGGTGGGGTCCATGCCCAGCCTCAGCTCTCTGTGCCAGCCCTCTCCCAGTGCTGGTGGGTTCAGAGGTGCCCAGGGTCATGGGGGCTGCACGGAGCACCTGGAGCAGGGGATGATGCAGGGGCAGCACCCAGAGCTCTCTGGAAGCTCTGGTGCCCAGGGCCAGGAGCTGTTCCTTCTTGCTGTGTAATGAGACACTGCCACACCCGTGCAAATTTCCCCATAGCCTGGGGCTTGGGTGGAAACCTGTGGGATCATTAAATCAGGCTGCTTAGGAGCTACTTGAAGATGGAAGGTATGAAATCCACACATGAAATGGTGGCCATGTCTAGGCCGTCCCCTGAGCTCCTGACCAGTGGCCCTGAGGGACAGGCAGAGCTGGCTGGTGCAGAAAGCCCAGCTGAGCTTGTGCTCCATGGTGCAGAGTGTTTGGGGCTGGCCTGGCAAGGCCAGGATGTCCCCTGGCACGAGGAGCCAGCGGCAAGCTCAGGTGCTGCTGTAAGGACAGGACCTAAGGGAGATGGAGGAAGGGGTGGGTGGGTCTGGGATGCAGAGCTGGTCCTGCTCTGTTTGGGCCATGGTTCATGCCCTTTCAGAAAGGTTCTGCTCAACTCCTCTGCATTTGTGCTTCCTTCTTCCCCTGGACTGGGATCCCAAGGAATTGGGAAGGAAGCTGTTAGGGAGAAAAAGGCTTTTGGTTTGAAATGCCTTGTGTGTTTGGGAGCTTCTTAGTGCTTTGCTGCACACACCCCAGGAGGAAGCTCCAAGCAGCTCCCTGCTGATGTGGGTCCCCAGGGAATTGTCTTGCTTCCCCACCTTCCCTTCCCAGGCACTAATTCCTGGGAGCTGGGGCTGTGCTCTGGGGTCTAATAATGCAATATCTGTTCCTTTGGTAGTCAAGACTGCAGGGTAGCAAGCTGATCCCACACCTCATCTTCATTCTACAGCTCAGTGATGGATCTCACCTCTGGGCAAGGGGGTGGATTGCAACATGGAAGCCACACTTTTCCCTTGGAGACTTGTGCAGAGCTGGAGCAGCTCCAAGCACAGCTCCCAGGCTTGCTGCCTGCTCCATGCCAGGCTGCAGTGCTACAGGGGCTGACAGGCATCCAGGTTTAACTGGAGGAGCTGCAGCAGTTCTGGTGTGAGCAAAGAAGGTGCAGGCAAGTTGTTTTCCTCCTGTTCCACTGCACATTGCCTTCCACACCTGTGTGAGGGGTGTTCCCCCTGCCTTTGCATGGCACCAGGCTGCTCTGTACATCCCTGTGAGTCCTCTGCATGGGGACAAATGCAAATGCTCCCTCAGCCATAGCCTCCCCAGGTGACATTCAGCACGTGCTTCCCTGTGCTCTGACTGCCTCCCTGCAGCCTCAGCTCAGAAGCACCACTCAGGCTTTAGCATCTGCTCTCTTGAGCTTTGCAGCCCTGAAATGCAAATTATCTTCATCACATGTTATGTGCTGCTGACTGTGGGATGTGCCCAAATATTGAGTAACTTCCCAAGCTGAGCCTAACTGCAGCCAATGGGATCTAGGGCTGTTTCTTTCCATTTGGGTCATAAAGAGAATTTGGATAGGTAATTAAAAGAGGTGCTGCCCTCCCCAAACAGCTGGTGGGAGAGGAAACTGTCAGGAGAGAGCTGGGTTGGAGGTTGGCTTGAAGAAAGATAAAGTGAAATTCTACTGGAGATGTCACACTGGCTCCGAAGATACCTTAAGTATTTCGGAGAGGACCAAGACTGATGCTAGATGGTAGCAAATTGCTATCAGATGGTACATTTGGGAACCAAAACTCCAACTCTAGAGCCTGATTTTGGGTTCCTCTTTCTTACACATGGGACCTGCCTCTCCCAACAGGATGGATTGCACACCTGCTGTATCCCCCTTCCCAAAGCAGCCTTGGGCAGCCCCCATGAGATCCCTTTAAACCCAGCCCTGCTTGACCCTTGTATCCAGTTGAGCAGCATGACCCAATCCTTGCCCATGGGGAAGCCTTGTTTGACTGTGGAGGTAATGAGCTGATGGGAACACAAGAGCTGATAGTTTCAAGTAACTGCAACTTAACCTCGCTGCATAAAGGGTCATTGTCCTGCCACAGAAATCCTCTGTCTGGGAGAGCACAGCTGCAGGGGAAATAAATGCTCTTCTTTTTTTCCTTTTTCTTTCTCTTTTTGCTGTTTGTTTGTTTAAACCCAGGGCCCTTGGGTCAGTGTGCTCTGGTTGGCTGCACACAGTGCTGGTGGGATGTGGGTGCTGAGCTCTGCCCAGGGGGCTGGGGCTCCCTCAGTGACTGCAGGGCAAATTCCCTTTAATCCAGGGAATTAAACCCCAAGCAAAGCCATTGATGGCCATGGCTTTAGCTGAGATCCAGGCCAAATCCTGTTTCCATTGAAGCTAAATGGGAGCTTTAGCTGCTGGTTTCAGAGGGATCAGGGCTAGGACCTGCTGCCAGGTGTTGAGCACATCTGCCCTACTGACCTCAGCAGGATGGGCTGCCCTGCCCAGGGATGGGTTCTGGCTTCCTGTGTGCTGCAATGATCTCAGAGTACTTAGGGTGGCAGTGGGCACTCAAGCTGTGCTTTGCTTTCCCTGTACAGGTCCTGGCACCAGAACAACCGTGACAGGTTGACAAGATCCTGACAACCTTGCTCCATTTGAGCCATTACCCGGCACCAGCTGCTGATTCCTCATTTGCCTTCTCAAAACCATCTCCTGATATGGAAACAGCTCATCACTGCCTGTAACCAGCAGGAACACCAGATCCTGCAGCATCTGTTTTGGACATCAAGGCAAGTGGGCCTGGGACAGCTGTATCTGGGGTAGAACATTACTACTGGTGTTGTACTAGAACTGCAGCTTGCCTGCTGCTGCCAGGAGAAGCACTCCCGACAGGCTGACCTTCCAAGGTGTGTTATAAATGGAGAGAAAACCCAGGTAGTTTTGAATACATGTATATGAGTGGTTATTTTGGAAAGAAACTGCTGGTTCTGGGTGCTGGGAGCTGCAGGAGCAGCCACCTCCATCAGTGCTGCATCTCCAGCTCAGGGCTGGAGAGAGCTGGCTCATGACTGTGTTGCCCAGCACACAGAACCATGTTGTTCTTCCAGCAGTTCAGACTGTGTGAAGGTAAGAGGCAGAGGGGTTATTTTGTTTACTTAGTTTTATTTTTTAAAAGCTTCCTATATTTTTTAAATTCCTCACCCACACAAATCCACGGGGTGAACAAACAAGGTCTTAGTCCAGCTGGTTTTGGGTGCACTTAGAAATCCCCACGGGGATTTTTATCTGGCAGGGCTGGGATCCTCTCTTCCCGGTCACAGCTAACATAAAAACATTTCTACTGATTCGTTGCACTTATTTATTTGTCCAAACACACAGCAGCCCAAGCCTGTGTTTGTGTGTGTACTCAAATGTCTTCCAAAAGCCACTCCTACCACCCCTGCAAAATAGTTGGAGGGTGACACAAGAGTGATAAACATCTGGCCATGGGAATGCTCTGGAGTGAATGGAGTTGTGAATGGGGACCAGTGGCACTGGAGTGGTGGTGATTTCACTCCACATGAGACCAGAATAAGCCAGGCTTGATGCCCCTATGTCCCAAGGGACAGGCAGTGACTCTGAGCACCCAGCTCAGGAAAGTCCCTCGATCAAGGAAGAGGCTTCAGTAGATGCTTCATCCAAACTTTTCTGCTGGCATGGATCGAGGCTGGATTTGTGATTTCATTGTTCACACTGAAATCTGTGCTTAGTGTTGACTCATAGAGGGAAGCAGAGGTTTGTGATCTGTGGCAGGAATCAGCTGTCTTGTTGGTCAAAGCTTCCAGCTTGATGATGGGGTATTTGTTGGAGGATGTAAGAAATTCTACTGCTTGGGACTGAAATAATGTCACTTAATTGCTAAGAGACTGGGAAAGCCTCAGAGATTGAGTCCATACCAACTGCTGGCTGACATGCTGGTGAAATCCTGCTGTTGTAAGTATATTCTTAGACAAATGTGATTTTTGTGCTCTGTAAAAGCAAACTTTCATTATTTTTTATTCAAACATTGCCTCTACAAGCTACTCACACTTCTCCAAGAAAATATCTTTGCCATTACTACTAAGTAGGTGCTTTTTAGAAACTTTGGGAAAATGAACTTTGAAATGAAATCCAGAAACAATTAAATCATCCAGTTCTGAAATATTTTTAACCGTAAGTTATTTTCTCTGGTTTATGGGTGTCTTCCCCATTCTCTTCTGGAATGCTTTGGGTTTTGCTTAAAAACACTGCAGCAGTGGGAAATGGTTTTGACAGAAGATCCAGCCCTTTTTTTTTTGCATGTCCTCAGCACAGAGGCAACAACTATTAGAAGAAAACCCCAAATATTTTCTGCCTGACGTGTCTCTCATCTGCCACTGTTGTGGGCACTGGGAAATGCAGGAATGCTCTGCCCAGCTGCTGGCAGTGCCCTGAACCTGCCACTGGCTTTTCTTTCCCAGGGCAGCACAAACTGACCCTCCAAGCTCGACAGAAGTTTCATGGTCCAGTTTTTAAGGCCCACACATGCCACAGCCCACCCTGCAAAGTCCAGCTTGGCTCTGAGCCCTTGGAGGGGCTGATGGGGGCCTCCATGCACCACCTGGTCCTGCACCTTGTGTCTCTCGTAGCCCTCATCCACAGGACATGTGCAGCTCTCTTAGGAATTGCTGGAGTCCCAGCACCCCACCGCTTTTTGACCTGAGTCTCCAGCCCTTCTGTGCTTCCCTTCTTTTCTCTGCTGCCCATAATGAGGGGCAGATCTGGGAAAACAGGAACAAGTAGGGGTGGGAATGTTGATGTGGCTGAGGCTGGCTAAGGAGGAGCTCAGTGATGAACCTGGACAGCAAGGACTAGGGTGGCTGTCTCTGGGGTGGCTGTGATCTCCCTGAAGACTTCCCCTTCTGCACCTGGGGTTGTGCCAGGCTCAGATCCCAAGGAGCTCCAAGCCATGTGTGGCTTGGCCTGCTCATCTCAAGCTGGAGATGCCTGATGAAGCTCCTGTTGCACGGTGGCCCAAAGCAAGGACCTGGCTCTGCTTGCATCTCCTTGGGCAGAGGTATTTCCACCTGCCAGCACAACATCTCTGTTCTCCTCCAGCACAGATGCACGTGCAGGGAAGCTCTGTCAAATCACAGGGGCTTTGGTCCTTGAGAAATCTATTTCTCTTCCTTTTTTTGGTGACCTGAGCCTTATCCCAGCTGGTGAAGAGCTGGTTTATGATTCATGGCTGGAAAGAGAGGCTGAATCAGAGAGTTCTGGCAGCAGCCAGGCTGAAGGTGGGGTTTGAGGATGGCACTGGCTGCAGGAGCTGTGCAGGCTCAAGCAGCCCCCAGGAAGGGTCCCCACTGTTCCCAAGCCACCTGCACCTCTCCTAGAGACAGCCCTTGCTGACATTGAGATTTCTCTGCACGGTGCCTTGGTCCTAGCAGGGCTTTTTTTCTCCTAGGGAGGGTTGCATGGAAATAACCTGATGTGGGAATGTGCTCTTTGCACTGAGGGGTTAAAGTCTGCTCCCTCCTTCCAGGCTGACCGTGGAAAATGCTGCTCATGCCAGGGGCTGTGCAGGACAGAAAGGAGGGCTCCTAGGATACAGTGATACAAATAACACAGCTTGTTCCACGGGCGGCGGAAGCCAGCAAAGCCTGGTTTCCGATGGGCTTGGGTTGGGGAGTGAAGGACGTGCAGGGGCTCTCACTGGCCAGTGAAAGCTAAACACACACCATCACCTCCTCATCAGCCACCCACCCTCACAAAACTTACATTCCCACAACAACTGGGAGTCCCATGTGGCTGCAAGTGTCCAAAAAGCAGGAGAGTTGGACAGGAGGGCTGCAGGGGTGGTGTGGCTGTGAGAGCCTTGTTTCTGTAGAAAATCAGGTTGTAAAAATGAGGATGCAGGCAGACAAACTCTGGGCTAGTTTAATGATGTTTCCATAATTTTCTATCTCAAACTATGCATCTGCTTTGTGATGATGATCATTTTGCCAGGGCCAAAGGCACTCAAAGGCAGAGGTTTTCTATGACAGTGTAACATGGTGTGACATGGGGTACTGTGGGCCCACAGGGAGAAGTGTCATTCTGTTTGGCAGTCTGGCTTTTGGCCTAAAAACTGGAGAAACTTGTGTCCCACTAGAGCCCAGACCTGGCATTTTTGCTTTGATTGCCTCTGCATCTCAGACCTTGGGATATCTGGTGGTCAGTGTGTGCTAAAAGCAGAGCCCTGCCCCTGGTCACTCTGCACCAGGTGTGAGTGACCCCTGAGCTGTATCTGGCACTGGGAAGATGTGGAGCCTCACAGGAGCCAGACCTTCATCTGTTTGTCACAAGCCCCTTGTTAGGAGCAGCACCAGCTCATGTCACCCTTTGAGGGACAGAGGAGCAGTGGAGGTGAGGAAGAGGTTCCTAACTAAACCTGACAAAGATGTGCTTGATGATTTCTGTCAGGATGTGGTGAAGGCTCTTTGGTGACGCACTAGTGGGGAGGAGGGGGAGTTACTGTGTCATTTTCACGACGGTGGCAGTGGGGCCACTGGTGTCCCTTGACTCTGAGCCACCCACCCGTGGGGAGAGGCCCCACCAGAACTTGGTGTCCTGTGAGTGAGGGGGGCTGGGAGAGCCCTGCTCCTGTTCCCACTCCCCTGGGTAGGGAGCAGCGTGGTCCATACCCTGCCCCACCCTCTGAGCCAGCCATGGGAGTCTGGGTGTGGTGTGCTCCTTGAGAATTGTCTCTGGGTTTGAGGAGTGAGCATGAAAGCTGTGCCCAGCCAGGTGTGGGGGCAGGAGGCTGCTTTGCCCTGCTGGGAGCACAGCCTGGGGCCGTGCTGTGGGCAGCAGGTGACACAGCTGAGGTGACTCCTTACTGCCAGCACTGCTGGGTGCTCATTAGCAGGGGGAGGAGAGGGTCTCGAGGTAAACAGAGCAAGGCTGGCAGATGACTGTGCCATCTCTGCACAACCTCGTCTAAGCCTATTTATATAAATCATGTGAAACCCAAATTAGAATTTTATCCATCTGCTGTGCTGCAAGTCGCTCTTCCACCAGCACAGCAAGCCAAGAAAATGCTCTTAACTCCCTAAGATCTGCCTCGAGTGTGAGCAAGTTCTGTGTACAAGGCCCATGGCTGGCGTGGGGGTGCTGTGCTGCACATCCTGCAGGACAGGCTGGCACCAGGCCTCCAGCAGACTGCAGTGTCTTGACATCAAAGGCGAGCCAGACAGAGGTGTGGATGTTCAGAGAGAAGTCTCCAAGGCTCCTCACTGTGAGTGAGAGGACAAGGGCTCACCTCTGCCTCATGTGTCACACAACCATGGCTGAAAGCATGGAGCAAGACCACCTCTGCCTGACTCCTGTCCCAGTGCTGAGGCCAGACACTGGGGTCAACTTGCCATGGTTTGGCACCATGAGGAAGGTCAGGAGATGCTCCCTGCTCTTTCCCATGTGTCCTCCTTGTAACAAAGCTGACTTTGAACCTTTCCCTCAGGGAGGCTGTCACCCCTTTGCTTTGCAGATGCCCAGGGCTCTGCACGGGGCAGCTCCTTGGAGGAGTCACACCCAGGTAACCCCAATGTGGCCACAGCTCTGTGCCTGCCTTCATGTGTGGTCACTGAACCTGCCACTCCTGTGGCAGCATCCCAGGGCCTCTCCTGTGGGAGCACACACTTTGGGAGCACCCCAGGGCCACTCATTTCTAGGAAACACTTCTGCCTCCTCACACTGGAGTCCCTGATGGAGATGATGACTCACCAAGGGATCTTTTAACCTCCTTACCCACTACAGTTATGATCTGCCTTTCTGGGCATTTAGTGCTTTTCCTGTCATTAAAAAGAAAACCTTTTTTAAAATTAATATTATTATTATTTCTCCGTCACCAAATTGAAGATTTCAGTGAACAGTTTGGGGGTAAACAAGCAGAGATGACACTGTGGAGGAACAGTTGGTCAAGTTTGTGAGAGATGGAGCCAGATCTAAATATGGCACAGCCTCGCTGGTATGGAGCAGAAGGAAGGAGGCATATGTGTCTGAGCAGTTGGATTGCTGCACGCTCTGTTAGATTTCCTTAACATCAAGTGCGTATCTTCCTCTTTTCTTTCCTTTTTAGTATAAAAAAAGGAGTAGAAGCTCACCAAAAATGTCTTTGTGTGGAAATAGGGAAGGGCTAAGAGGAGGTGATGGGCCCTCTCCATCCCCACTGGCTCAGTTTTCAGGTGCAGGCAGACGTGTCTGCATGAGAGGCTCCTCTAAGGACCAATCCAACAGGCCACCCCCAAAATTTGGCCTGGCCAAGGCCTTCTCCCAGGTGACCTCCATGCTGCTTGGCATTGATGGAATGACGTGTTTGGGCCATGTATGCCACAGAATCCAAGACCTGCAGGAGGGAGGAGATCACTGGTGTTCATCTGGAGATGCTGCCCACTCTCAGCTGGGCCTCTGCCCACCAGGGACCAGGGCTGTGCCCTCAGCCTGGGCGTCTCCTTCAAAGTCCCAGGCCACTGTGTTAGCAACAGAAAACCCAATTCCCTCTAGCAGTTAGCTCCTCCTGGGAAGTGCATCTTCACACCCCTCTGGCTGCATCGGCTTCTGAGCCCCTTTGTCTGCTGACAAAAAGCCTGCAGAGAAATCAATGTCCTTAGAGTGTGCTCACTGCTGGAAAGAGCTGCACAGGGATTTCGCTCTGCCTCTGTGGCTGCTGTGGAGACAACCTGAGGTCAGGTTTGCCAGAGAGACAACAGGCTGCTGAATACACACTGCCACTCCTCACGTGGCTCCTGCCTGTCCTGGTGGGAGGGTGGGTGTCCTCACAACCCCTGGGCTGGGGGACTGAGGCTTTCTTGTCTATGGGATGCTCTTGCTGTGTTTTCCCACAGCCAGGGAAAGGCAGGAGCTGGAGAGGAGAAGCCAAAGGTGAGACTGTTGCCAGCAGCTTTAGTCAGAGCTGTGCAGAACATGACCTGCACTAAAAAGTTATTTGCCAGCAAATTACATGTTTTTATTTTTGTTTAATTGCCTCTGTTTCCCTAATTGCATTTTAGATGGGAGACCCCAAAATCCTCAGCACAAGAGAAAGAGGTACAGAGAGAGAATGGAGCAAGGCAGGTCCCAGAGCCCTGGTTGTGCTGCCTGGTGTGTCCCAGCAGTGTCAGCTGCCTTGGAGCAGCACCTCAGCTACTTCTCCTGCTCTCTGAAGACTTGTGTGAAATGACCAAGATACAAAGGGCCAGGGCTGCTCCTGGAAGAGGAAAAGCCTATTGGTGTTGCCTGAATGAAGGGGCTGAGTCTCTGCATTCATATCCTGGGAAAGCAGTTGAGATTGATCCTGGTTTGGTCACCCACTGATGAGCTAATTTTAACACCAACCATGTGAGTATAAAAAGGATTAACCCTAAGTTTTAGAGCTTTGATGACATAAAAAAACATGGTGAAAGCATTTGTGTAAGGAGATGTTTCAAATGCCCTTTTGTGCATGCAGAGGTTCATCTTATTTGAAGAGGTAGAAACAGGAATACAGAAACAATCTTCTGCAATGTAACACTGCTGCTTGTTTCACAATTTTGTTTAATTCATTTTTATGAACAGGCTCTTAATTCAAGTCTCTTTTTTTCCCCTGCTCCCCCTGTGCAATGCAATCCCATTTGTGTCTAGGTTACTGGCAACCAGTATATCAAGCTCTAGCCAAGCATGTATTAAAATAAAGCTGCAATCTGCTGAAAAACAGGTTTTAAGATGGAAACAAATAATTAGAAACACACCAATTAGTGTCTGTCTGACAACAGGTTGAGCTCTGCACGGATTTAAACAAAGCTGTAATGGCAGGATGTGAGCGATTCAAACTGGAGGCAGTGGCTGAGTGTTGATTTTAATGGGTCAACTGGAAAAGATGTGGGGAAGGAGCAAACCTGGTTGGCTTTGGTTGGGGCTGAGCACCCAGAACTGTGAGATAAAAGAGAAACACTTGGGGGCCTTGTGAGGCCTGAGGCCTGGGGTGGAGCAGGTGTTGGAGTGCAGCTGCTGGGTCCTGCCCCTCTGCAGGTGCCTGCATGGTGTGTGTTTGCTGGGCACTGCTGGCACACCAGCCAAAGGTGTGGAGGCATTTTCTGTGGTTTTGTACCTTTGCTGTGGGTGTTTTTGTGCCTGCAGACTCTGGCAATGCCCTCTGGCCAGGCAATGGACAGCAGGGCCTCTGGGGAGCTTTCCAGCAGCTGCTGAGAGCAACCCAGTCAAATACTCATTTTTCTCTCATTGACAGGAACATCTCACCGCTGGAATTGCCGTGTGCCCGCTTGTGTGAGAGAGCAAATCACTCCAGCAGTAGCGTGGATCGTTCTTCTGCACCCATTGTTATGGAAATCACCTTAGAGACTGTTGCTCCAGCAAACATTTTTAGAAGCACCAGTGAGTTGCGCAACAGGAAAAGTGCTCGGAGGTGAGGAAAGCCCCCTGGAGGCTCTCAGCGCTGCCCCTTCCCCCAGCGGCTCTCCTGGTGGGGATGGGGTTTGGGGTGGGGACGGGGTTTGGGGTGTTCCTTTGCCTGGTAAGGCAGGCAGAGAGTGCTTGTGGAGAAGCCCCTGGTGCGTCAGTCTCCAAGGAAACCCTGGGTGCTGCGTGGCTCAGCCTTCCTTGCACGCCTGGGCACTGCCTCACACATCCCAGGCTTGTGCCTGAATCACACATCCACACTGTGATCCGCCAGTGGCGTTTTATGGGTGCAAATTTTAGGCAAATGGTGGGGTTTTCCTACCCCTAGATGCCACTTCATCTCAGAGAGCCTCGTGGTTGGCTTTGGTGTGCAGCACCAGTGAAACCAGCCCTATCTCTGTTTCGGGTGCACATTCCTCACCGTTGAGTCTGGAAGGAGAAGCCTTGTAATGCTCCCACACCTCCCAGCTTCTCTAGAGCAAGCCTGGGAGCCTGCTGGTTACAAGGGAGGCTGGGCAGCAGGTGCTTCCAGGGGTGCTGCCACCAGCCTGGCTGCAGTGCCTGAGCCAGGGCAGGCCACCCCTCTGCCCCCTGCCTGGTGACAGCAGGAAGGATAGAGGAGAGCCAGTCACTGCCCCAAAAGCTTCCAAACCCCCACAGGTTAGGGCAGCCCACCCACAGGGCAGTTCCACTGCTCATCCCCCATTTGTGCTCAAACACCTAGCCCTGAATTTTAATTAAAAGAAATCATCTCTTCTTGTCTTGATTAACTACAAATAATTGTTTCTCTTGAGTTTACTTCTCATGCTCCTCATCACTGCCTGTTCTGGAGCAGGACCAGCTCTCCAGCCTGCGCCCAGGAGCCTCCTGCAGCCTCAGCTGATGGAAGGGGAAAAGCACAGATCCAGTGACCTTTGTTTGCCTCACTGCTGCTCACAGTCCCTGCCTGACATTTGAGGAGTGCTGTGAGTGCTGGAGGGGCCATGGGGATGGGGTATTGGGCAAAGCACGTGAACCTCATCCTTGCTGGTAGAATACAGGCTGAGCTGTGACCCTTCCTTTCCCTCTCTGGAAGTCACAGTTGACTTTCACTGTGGTGTCTCACCAAGGAACCAGGAACAGGACACTTCCTCCAGCTCCCTGCTGGCCAGACAGAGGCACTGACCACACCTTGTCTGTTCCCAGTCTGCTTTACTGCCCACAGCAGTGGGGCTGGAGCAGGGTGGGATGTCTGGCTCTGTGGGATGTTGTGTTGCTCGCTGCCAGTGCCATGGGATAGGACCAGAGGGAGCTGATAGGCTGGATCTGGGAGGGGACCTTGTATCCCAGGAGAGATGCTGGGGATCCTGAGGTGGTGGCAAGGTGCCACTGAACAGCCAGGCTGTTAAACACTGACCTGTCAGGTCCCCTCCCAGCCTGGCTGCTCCCTGGCATCCCCCAGCACTGCCTGGGGTGGGGAAGGACAGCTCCAGCCCATCCCATCTCATCCCATGCCTGCCTGCTTTGGCTTTTGCAAGGTGGCTGGTCTTAATTTCTCCAGAGGACCACAGTGCTGGGTGCTGCAGATGTGCTTGAAGACACCGAACACCCTGACCCTTGTGCTGGTACATTGTCCAGCTTTGCAGCCAGTGCAGCTGAAAGGGTATTTTTCTCCCTGAACCTGGCAAACTCTTTATCCCAAGGATCCTTGGTGGTGTTAACCCCCAAACCTCAACCTCAACAGCCAGAAGCATGAGATTAGCATAAGCCCTCATCTTTCTTTTGATGAAGAAAATTTGGGGGGAGGGTGAGAAAGGATAATTCTTTGGATTTTTCATTCTGAGACACTTGTGCTTATTTTACCTCCCTTGGTACTTTATCTGCTGCACTTGTGCAGGCTGGAATCTCCCTTTTATTTTGTTTTGTTTGCTTTTAATGTGAAAACTGAGCTTTTTAGGGCAAGTAGCTGAAGCTTGGCCACAGGAACTGAGCCCTGGGCCGTGCCTGACTATGAAAGTCAGATGCCTTTGCTGGACATCTGGCTGCCTTAGTGCCAGATAGCAGGGAAGAGCACTTTAATATTTATCCTGAGCTAAAAAAACAAGGAGAATGGAGAAAAATACACAAAGTAGGCCATGAAAACAGGGTTTGTGAACATCTGAGATCCGCTCCTAATTAATAGCAGTTCCCATCCCAGAAATCATACCATTCAGCAAAAGTTAATCATCTTTGCTCATACATACAATACCCTTCAAGAGAGAATGAGTCACCCTCATTGAAATGTCTGATGTTATGAAATCCAGTGTGACTGATGTAACAGACCCAGCTAAGCTCTCCAAATTGGCCGGCAGCACCGTGGTGAAGCTGCTGTGTGTGAGCTGACTTCATTGAGTTCTGCTCGTTTGCACCCAGGATGGATTTTCCCTTTAGTTTCTGGAACAGACTCACAGCAAAGGGCCCAGGAAGGCTGTGGGAGGGCAGGTGAGGGTGGCAGGAGGGGTTGGCATTACCAAGCCCCCCATGGTCCTCACTTCCCAGCAGGAAACTGCTTGTCCCCACCTCTGGGAGCCCACAAAACTACAGCAGCCCTGATCTGAAAACATTTGGGCACCCACGTAATTCACAGCTCTTCGGGGTGTCTGGGACCAGCACTTCAATCACACCACTCTACATCTTTAACCATTTGCTGGCCTGGGTCTTTATTCCTCCCTGCTTGGTTGAGAGAGAAATGTAGGTTGAATTCAGCATTAAGATTCTGCCTTGATATCAGCTGTTCCCTTTTAAATTAAATATTATTACCTGCAAACATTTCCTTTTAGCACTGGGAGCCGTTTGCTTGGTGTACTTTGTTTAAATGTCACCATATGAATTACTGAAAGTAATTTAAATATTTAAAGACATATACTGCAAGTCTAATTTTATTTTGAAATCCCGAGCCAGGCTCACAGCTGATGCAGCAGATAACAGCTCAGCCTGGCACCCCTGGTTCCTGGCCCAGTTCTTTAAATTAATGATTTGCATTTCCAACACCTTTCACCCAACAAGTCTGGGCTCTGAGATTTTTTTTTCCAGCCAGATTTTCTTCTCTCTTTGAGGCATTGCAGCCCCTCTAGGATGGGCGTGAATCCCTTGGCAGTTTCTCTCCCATCCACCCGTCCACCTTGGGTGTCCTGCTGGGGCATCTGCTCCATAGGGCAAAGCCTTGGAGCAGTAAGATCAGAAATGCCAGGGCCCCAGCAGAAGAGACAGCAGTGCTCTTGTATTTCGTGCTTTCCAACTAGAGAAGATCCCCCTCCTGACACAACCTTTTAATCTCTCGTTATCTTTATGAACAGCTTAAAAAAACCTACCATTTCTGGCACACTGGCCCTGCTGCTGAAGAGCTGTTCCTCTTCCACCTCCTTCACCTACTGGGATTAAAAGCTACAGGTAATGCTGGGGAGTAAATGAAAGGCTTTCCACGAGGAAATAAGCTAAAACAGTAAACAAAAGGCTGATTCTTAGAAGCAAAACAACTGAAGGTGTCACCAGGAAAACATGGTGACGAATCTCTCTGGTCCTCGGAAGTTGCCTTACATGTGTTGGAAATTACCTTGTGACTCAACCAGCTCAGTGTGTCTGGTGCCAGTGTGCTGAAAGCTTTTAGCTGACCTCAATACCCAAGGTTTTCAAGGAAATAATGTTTCCCATGAGAAATGTCACCACCAGAGCCAAGCCTTTCCTGAGAAAAGCCTGGCTTAGGTGGGTGATTTCTCCTGCTCTGGGAGCAGCCTCCCTGAGGAGCTGAGCTCCCACTGCTGTGGCCCTGTGGGCACGCCCAGAGCTCTGCTCTCACTCCTCTGGCAGGGGGGTCTCCAATGCAAGGTCCAAGTAAAAGCCTTTTAATCATCCTGCAGCCATCTCCTGAGAGTGCTCCTCTTCCCTGCTGCCCTTCTCCCTCCAGAGTCTGCCTTCTTACGCAGAGCCAGTGACTCATTCCTGGGATGTCTTTGCTGAATTTGCCTGGTCACCTCCTTCCCTGAGCGCTGCTTCTTGCTTGTCACATGGTGAGTGAAGGAGGACAGGCACAGTGTGTGCTGGGATGGCACCAGCTGCTGGCAGGATCCCCCTCTCCTCGTGCCCTGGGTGCCCCTAGGCTGGTGCCCTCTCTGTTCTGGGCAGAAGGGAAGGGATGTGTGTCTCCAATTCCATCCTTTTCTCCAAGATCCACCACCTGAGCCATGAAATGCTGTGAGCTCTGCCTGCTCCCCTGGCTTTGCAGGTTCCAGGCTGCCATTCACAAGGACCTCAGTGTGCAAAGAGGAGCTTTGTGAAGTCCAGCAAAGGGAGTAGGAGCTCCTGCCCCCAAGGAGGAATGACCCCACTCACCTGTGCAATGACCCAGTACAAACTGGGGACCAGCTGGCTGGAAAACAGCTGTGCAGGTAGAGACCTGGGAGGGCCTGGTGGATAATGAGCTGACCATGAGCCGGTGGTGCCTTCTCACAATCAGCAACATCATGAGCTGGATTAAGAAGATCATTGCCAGCAGGCCAAGGGAGAAGGAGGAAGGAGGTTTTGATTCATCCTTTTGGATCAAGCAGTGCTGCCAGAAACTGGATTGGCACATTGTGAGTGCTTCAGGTACTTCTTGCCAACTCTGAGGTCCAGCAGAGTCCTGCATGAAGGATCTTAAACCCCAGTTCCAGGCTTGGAAAGCAGGACACAGACAGAGGGAAGGAACCTGCCCAGCATCACACAATTAAGCCAGTGCTGGATTGGGAAGTGACTTGACTCTTCCCTGAGACCTGGTTCAGTTCCCTCTATGCTGGGTCCTGTTCTTGTAGGTCATATATGTGTATTCAAAAGTTGTGAATGTACCCAAGAGCCTCAGGCTGGCCAAAGGGGTGCTTTGTGTTCAAAATAAAGTCCTGTTTCCTGGAAACTAAACTTTTTTGGGGAAAAAAGAGCAGGGCTCAGCTGAACATTGCTAACACTGTGAGGAAAATAGAAGTTGTTTTTTGATGCTCTGAAAGAGGAACCAGCCCCTTCCTCCTGAAATGCTGCATGGAAATGGATTCTTGGGTGTTGTTTAGTTTTATTTTAACTGTAGTGAGGGGTTGCAAAACCAGAGAATTTGACACAAGGAAAAAACCTCTGGAACCAGGGCATCTTCACAGATGTCCAGCAGAAGTTCTCCATGAGAGAGCAGCGCTGCCACAGCACAGGTGTGAGAGCTCAAAGCAGGGCATGAGCCTGGGCTGCCTGTCCATCCATAGCCACAAAATACACTCCAACCAGAACAACTGCCTGAATGAAAAGCAGCATTGAAGGGAACCTGTACCGGCTGGGAGACCTGCGCAGCTCATTGGAGTAAAAGGGTATGAACAATGATTGACTTTAACACCACCCATGGTGAGAAGCAGCAGCACACTGCAACTTGCTGCCCCAGTGTCTGTGTTGGCTGAGGGTTTAACTGGTGCATGTTGGGGTTTCACTGATAGCCAGGGCTGTGGGGCACTGCCACGGGGCTGGGGCTGCCTCTGGGCTCTGGTGTAAATGCCAGGCAGTGCTGACAAAGCCACTGGGCCTGCCCTGGCTCCACCACAGCAGAGCTGAGCTGGGCTACCCCTCTCTTGCAGCACTGGGAGAAGCCCTGGCAGGGTTTGCATTTCAGAGGAGCCTCCCAGAACCAGGCTGAGGAGCAGTGACCCCCCCAGCTCTGTGTGGGGAAAAGCCTGTCCTGGTAGGTGATGGCCCTGCTGGAAATCAGACCCAGCAGCACAGTGGAGAGGGAAAATGCAAAGGCTGGAGAGCCAAAGTATGGTGAAGTCTTTATGTCTCCTCTCAGCTTCTCCCAGCAGAGGGACAGGCCATGCAGAACCTTCCCTGGGAGGCTCTGCACTGCCTGCACCCAGTCCAGATCTTCACCATCTGTCCCCTTCCCCTGCCACAGGTCAGCATCCCAGCAGCAGCTTGGGGAGATGAGTGAGGGTCACAAAACTCAGCTCTGGGCATGCACTGGGAAGCTGGGCTGGGCACACAGAGCGGGCGCAGCCTGCTCAGTGACAGCCCTTCCTGGTGGGTGGTGAAGCTGCTCTCACAATGCTTTCCCATGAAAAGCCTGCACCAGGAAGTTCCCCACTTAGGCTCCTTGGAAAAAAAAATCTTCCTCTGCAGGAAATTGCTTCTTGAAAACAGCCTGGCTGTCTGGAGGAGCTGCTGAGGAACTGACGTGTGCGGGGCGGGCGAGGCGCTGGATCTGCAGAGCCAGGGAGGGATGGAGCCCAGCAGAGCCAAGGGCCCACACAGCACCAACAGGTCCTGCACCCCGTGCCTTGGGCCATTTCTGTCTTGCTTCACTCTTTCCTGAGGAGGAAGGGTTTTTCTGGCATGCAAAAGGAGGGATAAATGGGATATGGAGGTCTGTATTCAACTCCAGGCTGTGCAGGCTGTGTCCAACACATGCCTGAGCCAGGGTAGATGTTATTGGCTTCTTAAGTCCCATAAATATCCTGTCCTATTCCATCATTGCCGTGACAGACTCTGGAGGGTCTCATGCCAAGGGGAACATTGGAGCTTTCCCCTCCTCTGGTCCTCTGCAGGGGAGGATTTTCTAAGGAGCTGCTTCCAGACCTCATTTAAAACTTACCGCTAAAAGGATAAATAATCTTAAATATTCGCCAGTTCTTCCTCTGGAAGGAGCTTGGAGCCCAGGAAGTGAAGCAGGGAAGAAGGGAAATGGTGTTGCTTAAGGATGTTTTCTCAGTTTAATTAGATTGGAGCTGCCCTCCCTTGCTGGGGTAGCCTCTGGGCTCTCAGCTCCTGGTTAAACATGAACCCCTTTCTCTCCTGGGTTTCACAGAAAACACACCCATTTCCATAAAAATTCAGGGCTTTCCTCAAACCCTGAACATGTAGCCAGACTTTTCCTGGGTGGCCAGTGAGGGCAACAGGAACAAATTGAAGCACAGAACATGTCAGTTCACTTTTTCACTCTGAGGATGGTGAAATACTTCACCACCTTGCCCAGAGAAGGTGTGGAGCCTCCATCCTTGGAGATATTGGGATATCCAATAGTAGGGACAATAGTTGCCCTAAGAGAAGGTGCTGTGAGACAGGAGCTGGACTGGGCACTCCTCAGAGGGACCTCCAGCCTCAGCCCCTCTGGGCTGCTGTGCCCCTGTGAGATGGTAATGGCCCCACTGCACAGGAGGGGATGGTTTGCTTCTTCTGCAGGAACCTGCCAGAGAACAATTCTGTTGTCTTTGGAGCAGAGTTCATTGACACATTGACATGAAAGTCTCCAGCTGTGCAGCAAAAGGGCATCTCAGAGAGCCAAATGTTATGTCCATTTAATAGAAGAAAAACGGATTATCCCAGGACCTCCAATGCCAGTGCCACGTGCTTGTGGCTGCTTTGTGTTTCAGGAGATGCTCCACAAAGGTTTCTCCTTGTGGTGCTTCTCCCCCAGCCTCCATCCATCTGCCTTGACATGTGGAAGATGCTTCCAGGGCTCAGCATCCCTGTGGGATGGAGCCCAGCATCGGAGATTTGCCCCGAGGCAGGGCTGTGTCAGGAAGGGTGAGTCTGTTCCCATGGCTGAGCTGGATGCCTGCAGTGCCAGAGCTGATGCTCCACGGGGATTGTTTGCTGCAGACAGGAGACTTGGACCCTCCTGCTGAGTGTTTGTGGGTGAAAGGCTTCGCCAGGCCAAAGTCATCTGACATTTTTCTCGGGGGCGGGTGAAGTTAATGAGTCCAGATTAGGCAGTGCGGAGGCAGGGGAGCTGGATTTCTGCTGAATATATATGAAGACAAATGTAAATTCTAAACTTTCTAGGGAGTATTTTTACCCTGGCTCAGTGCTAACACTGATAAAAATAGTCACAAATTAGTGCAAGAGTAGAAAGTAAAATTGGGGATTTTTTTTTTCCCTGTTAAAACCATGCATCTGCTACCATAACTACCAGGAGTTAACCTCTTCCATGCATTAATGAAACATGGGGTAAACCACCAACAAGTGCCCTCTCCTGACAAAATAACTCCTACTACATTAAGTAATTAGAAAAGGAAGCTGAAATTAAATAAAAAGTCTTTTTTAAAAATTTATTTTTAAAGATAGAAAAAAGTGATTCAGTCCTAGAAATTCAGCACTGCAAGAGGATGTTAACATCACACCAGCCCACCTGCCTGGTTCCTTAGCACCCAAACTCTTGCAAAGGTGATGGGAGGTATCAGCCCCATCCTACAGATGGGAAGTACACAAAACTGTGGATTCACTCAACGTCACAGAGCAAACCAGAAGCTGCCTGTGGGCCCAGGTTACCTGAGCAAATTCCCAGCTGAAATCTTGATCACAAAGCATGGCTTTGAGCTGCCAGTCCAGCATTGAGCTGCCAGGAAGGCGCTTCCTGTCTTGGTACTGATGGATATTTGATCACACAGGCACCTGAGCCAGGTGAAGAATCCTTCTAGAAGAGTTTAATGGTTTTATGGGCTGATGTCTGGGCCACCAATCGTACCTAATACCTCTTCTTAGATGTAGCAAACAGCTGATGAGCGATGAGAAGGTAAGTCCTATGAAGGTTTAGCTGCTATAGCCCAGGTTTGTTGGGGGAGAGGCTGGAAGGAAAATCCTTTGGGGCTGAAGTGTTGTGGAGAAAGTGCATGTTACAAAAAAAAAGTTTTCCAGAGGTTCATTTTTAAGAAGAAAATAGATATTAACTTCTGGCCAGCTTCTAATTTACTTTACTTTGTAAATCCTTAGGAGCCCCTGCCTCACCTAAGCTGTAGGTGGTACCATGCATCCCCTAGGGGTGTGACACCTTCTGCCCTTTACTCACATCTTGCTTGGGAGCAAAGCCTCTGCAGGGCTGCCAGGGCCTGGAGTGGGTTTTGGGCAGACATCTGCTAATGATGCACTTACCTTGTGTTCTGCCATGACTCATGGTCTTTGTTTCTAAAACATGAAAACAGCCTGTGGGCTCTGCAGTCAGAGAATCTGGGAAAAGAGAGGTGGTGGTGATGGAAATGAGGAACCTGAGCTGGCATCTGCACCAGCATCATGGGAGGTGGGGACAGGTGAAGACAAAAGCACTCCGAAGCCAAGCCAGCAGGATGGGCCTGTGGGCAAAGGGGAGTTGCCTGTTCACTGCACTGGGCATTAAGCAGAAGGCCTGTTGGAGGATAGAGCCTTTCCACAGCAGAAAAAAAGCCAGAAAGATGCACACACCCTGTATTAGAAGGTCAGGTCTGGTATTGTGATATGGGGATGACATATCACATAATCCCCAGGCTCCCCAGGCCAGTGGTAACCAAACCTGCTGGAGTTCAAGAAGGGTTTGGACAATGCTCTCAGGCACGTGGTGGCACTCTTGGGATGGTCTTAGGCAGAACTAAATGCTGGGCTCAATGATCATTGTAGGTCCTCCCAGCTCAAGATATTCTATGATTTCATGAATCCACATGTAGAGTGGTTATCACTTTGTGCAGTCATTGTCACAAGCACTTGGGGCTTTTGGGACCTGAGCTGGAAGCTGCCCATTTCTGGACAAGTGTTGTTCTCCTGCCTGTCAGCAAAGCCTTTTGCATGGGGAGACAAATGCCACCAGCACCCTGAGCCCTGCCAGCCGCGCTGGGCTGAAGGAGGTGCTGGCACACCGTGTCCTGGCCCCAGCCTGCAAGCCACGTCTCAGGAAACCTCGCGGGCTGGAGATGACCCGTCCATGGGAGGGGATTTCGGGGGGTGCCCGCAGCTCTCTGCAGAGCAGGGATTTCCCTGTGACGGGAGAAGCCCGCGGGTGTCGGTCCCGGATCCCGGTGCCTGGGCTGCCTTGGCGCACTGTGAGCGGCTGACTCCAGAGGGCAGCACGGCCACGGGCTGGCACCGCACCCGGCACCAGCACCGCGACCCTGCCCTGCCGGCCCGCAGCAGCCAGAAACCGGGGAAAGCTCCTCCAGTGTCCCTCAGGTCCTGGCTGGGCAGGCAGAGGGTGTCACCCTTCTGTTAAATGACATTATTTTGCTTTGGCCCTTCTCAGAGTGAACTCTGCGCTTGTCTCCGCAGGTGACGCGTCTGGAGCCTGTCCCGAAACTGATGCGGTTGCTGATGCGACCGCAGAATGGAGGTGAAACATTTCTCTTCTGGTTCCACAGGACCACAGCTGGCGGCTACACCTGCCTCCCTCGCACCACCAGAAAGGATCCCTGTAAGATTTCTGGGCTGTTTTCAGCACAACAGGGACTTTAGACCCAGATTTTAGTTCTCTGCACAAGCTGCTGCTGCTCCCCTTGTGAATTGAAGGTGCCTCGATAAACATTCTGAAAGGTCAGCTATTTTCACTGTGCCTGTGGCTTGCATAAGAACCTCAACATCCTCTGCTGCAAAGAGCAGTGTTAGGAACTTCCTACTGCCACACTGAATCACAATGGCTTCCCACAGCAACCAGTGGTAAAAATAAACCGGGCAAGGGGAAGTGGACAGCTTCTGCTGTTCCGCTTTCTCGGGCACACTTGAGTCACAAAAAAAGCGATGTACAACAAGACATTTATTTTGCTG